GTTGACGACACGTTCCGCAAGGTACGAAACTTATGAATTTATACCCCGAGACTCAAAATGATTTAAGTAACCAGCGCTTTAATTTACAAATTCGTGATTAACTGTGTTCTTCCTCAATAATTATATTGCTGTCCTAACATTTCCCGCTGGACTTCTACACAAGAACTTCAGAATGATTGTGCGTTCAACTCATTTCCAGGTGTAGTGGATTGCCCAGAGAGTCTCTGGTTAACTACATCGTCACTAAGCATTTTGGTGCATGCGACAAGTTTTCATTAAAGGTTGTAAATGACCCTTTCCATCCCTTTCACGCTGAGTTATCCAATGCCCTCTTCTGCTCGTCTACCCGCTATAAATCTAGGCTTTCTGTTTTCTCGCCCAACACGTGATCACAACCCTATCTTACTGTATTTATCCCGTTTTCTTGTGGACTCCAATAAACTTATGAGCACCACGCGTAAACGCTTACTTGAGTGATGTGCATACATGTTTTCTTCTTCTGTTGATGATGTAAGTTCATGCCAATGTTAAGCCTCCCTACATCCACAGTGTTAGTGTACCGTACTGGAAATGTTCCCAGTCGGATTCCAAAAAGCCTAGTTTGACTTGATTTGACTGGACTTGACTGGTGAAGCTGATTTATCCACCATATATCACATACTCACCATGCCACATACTCATGAAACATTTGTCAATGTTACTGGACGACAACTGTTTCTGCACGAACATAGCGTCAGTTGCATGCGTGTGTAAATAATTTACATGTATATTCGGCAAGAGAGGAGAGATGCGGATGTTTTTCCAGTGTCTCTGGAACACTTTATCACTTCTTCCGAGTCAAGAGGTATTGACATTTATCGGTATCATAATACTAAGCGAGAGCAACATACGATGGATGTGCAAAAAGAAACGGAACTTTTGCCATAACATCTTCATTGCTCACTGCACAACATTTTCGACACTTTCTCTCTCAACCTGGTCCCTCCTTCCAGCAATATACAGTTTCCAACGGTGCTTCCATTTCTGATAAGTCTTCTGGCGTGCATTTTCTGGGATAGCGCGCGTCTCTTGCCCCATTGTCTTGAATCTCAGTTAGGGTTTGAAAGCGACGTATTTTTCAACATGGTTTGTTGTTTGGGAAACAGGAAATTGTCTGCAGGGCCTAGGCTCGGAGAATACGATGGATTGGGCACGACGGTAGCGTGTGGTTTCGCTAATTAGCTGCGGACAAGCAACGATGCGTGCGCCGGTACATTGACAACATCCAAGTCTGGTTAGCCAACAGTTCAGGCCTCTTACTGCGCACAACATCCTTCAAACTCGCTGCGTTTGACGGCGCGACCCCACGCTGATGTCCACTACGTCAACAATTTCTCGGACAGTTAAACGACGATTTCCGAGGACCACAGCAAGAACATCCTCGACATGGTTATTGTCTGCTGATGTGGCAGAACTTTAGATTTGGAGTCGTCACCGACCGGCATTCAGCCGTGTACAAATTACTTAAACCGTACATACACAGTAATGCTTGCGGCTCATACTGTCCTCCCCGTATGCTTGGCTAAGCGACTCAAATGTCACTGTCAAAGATTTGCCAGGTTTGCAGCAAAATTTCAAACGCACGCGTTGTTCTTTAATCTCTTTCATGATCTCTTTGGCAGTAGTCCGACGAACGGCTTGTGCACGTGCCCACTTCAGTGGCTTTAGCTCCCCAATTAACAGTCGGAACAAATGCGGCAAATGGTAGTTTAATCAGGTGGCATCGTGACAGGACTAACAGACAGCCAAACAACTTGTGTACACAGAAGACGTAAAAAGACTAACAATATAGAAAACTAGATAATTACATATATAAATAGCATCCGGTTATGTGTTATACCTCGGAGGAAAGACTTCTCATCAGGGACATGGCAAAGTCAAGGGTTGCACATGCACCCTATGCTTTGCGTAGCTCTGATTGTGTTAGTCCGATCGTGACAGCTTCAGCAGTCAGCAAAAGACGTTTCCTTAACCTTTTCGGGTATCATCTCGGTACGGCATAATAGATCTTAAAGTCATCTTTGGTCAGAATCTGATGTCCACTTTGAAGCACACGTTCCAAGATCGAGCGGTTGATACTTCTGAGTGTGCCTCTCCTCAGTGAGCCTGGACAGTACTCAGCCATCCGCACCGACAGACGCCTGGTCGTATGCCTGATATACTTGGCACTACAGGTGCAAATAAATTGGCAAACAATGTACGATTCGAACGACAAAGCAGTCTGTCTTTAAGATGTTGAGTTATAAAGGGTGCGGTCTCCGCAAGAACGTCTAGGTGCGCGGCCAAGTAGGTCCTTGCAAAGGCGTTAGAAAATTTCCTATCCAGAAGATCGAAGGCGACATCTCCCCTAAAATGAACAGAAAGAAATACGTCCAGCTTCTAAACCGTTGCTACGGGCTTAAAGCGCTAACTGGTCATGACGTGCTTTTTGAGGAAAAGTTCAGGGTAACTATTCGAAAGAAAGGTTTTCACAAATCGGTCCTTCTCACCCTCTAACGTGTCCGGACTAAAAATGTTGGTGGCCCTGTAATACAAGCAATGCACTAAGTTGCGCTTGTACTTTAGAGGGATGAAGCTCAAGAAGTGTGTATCTTGTCCAACCCATGTAGCTTTGCGGTAGACACTACGCTCAAGTGATCCGTCCTCGCGCCTCCTCAACAAAACGTCCAGAAAAGCCAGCTTACCTTTATTTTCCATTTCACTAGTGAACTTCATTGAAGGATGTGCACTGATGAACTGGTCGAGCACACGGTTGACATCAGTGCGAGAATCACAGATGATGAAAGTGTCATCCATAGACCTCTAATAAGAATCAAAGGAGGCAATAACGGCTTGGATGGGACCACGCTGAAGCTTAGCGAGAATGATGTCGGCAAGGAGGAGTCCAAGGGGAGACCCCATCGATTTGCCTATAATATATCCCGTCAAGCAAGAATTGTCTATTAAAGGTACACCGTAAAATTAGCTCCTTGAAATTAGGCACTGGAATGCCAACGTTTATGAACTTTTCCGTTAAATACTCATAGATGAAATTAACAGTTTCCAGCAATCCGAGGTTTGTGAAAAGTGATTCTACATCAAAAGAAAACATTCGTTTGTTGTTTAACTTCAGATCTTTGACTTTATCAACGAATTCGAACGTTTCCTTTAGAGAAAGGATAGAAAGCTCCTTATGTACAGGTTCCAACAAATACACAATCAATTTGGCAACTAAGTGGTGTGCAAAAGCGGACCCGTCAATTATTGGGCATAGAGAGATAGCTGAGCAGGGTCACTGCGGAGAGGCACACTCAGAAGTATTAACCGTTCGATCTTGGAACTTGTGCTTCAAATTGGACATCAGATTCTGACCAAAGATGCCTTTAAGGTCTACTATGCCGTACGGTGACGATACCCGAAAGGGTTAAGAAAACGCCTCTTGCAGACGGTTGAAGCCATCACGATCGGACTAACATAATCAGAGCTACGCAAAGCATAGGGTACATGGGCAACCCTTGACTTTGCCATGGCCCTGATGAGAAGTCCTTCCTCCGAGGTATAACGCATAACCTGGTGCTATTTATATATGTAATTATTTAGTTTTCTTTATTGTTAATCTTTTTACGTCTTCTGTGTACACAAGTTGATTGGCTGTCTGTTAGTCCTGTCACGACGCCACCTGATTAAATCGATTTGAGCGTCGCACGGACGTGCAAAATCTGTTTAACTGACAGTTTATTGCCTAAGCAAGTCCTCACATACACTCAATAGCCGCAGAGTGCTCACTCTGCCGGTTGCTTCGCTATTACACAAGCTCGGTTTCTTTGTAAACACCCGTCGTACGTGTCGTCGGGAAAATGTGTTACACTTTCCTTCAACTGTTTATCACGTCCAAAATCCCTTCAAAGGAGGACTGCGGTAACATATTCAATCTCACGGAACTGTGGAAACTAGTCATGTCGCATTTGGTAGCAAAAGCACTTACGTGGTTCTAGAATTTCTGAACAATAACATTACACCGCAAGCCATTGGTAATACCTGTCGCGCAATTGATTAAAACTGGAGCATACCATTTAGATTTTGCGTGTGACCCAAGTCGTTAGTTTCATTCCTATAACCTTTCCTGCGCCAACTTGCTACCAATATCAGAGACTGTACGTAAATCTTTTCTTGCAAACACCACATCTTTACAAGTAGAGAACCTGTTCGTACATCCGCACCCAGCACTCCAGTTTCCAAACTAAAGCAGTGCAGTTTTAGCGTTTTCCGTCACCCATGTTTCCTTTCTATCCAACGTTCCTTTGTTTACAACTCGCCTAGTCGAGGAGGATCATCGTATATATTGCGAAAGTAAGTAGAATGCTTACTCGCCTGCATCGACAAATGCTACCGATAACATTTCTGCGTCTCCATTTGATTTAGTAAACATTAAAAGCTGCAGTAATCGTCCTCCGCGCATACTAATAACATTATGTTTGAGCCGGATAGGTTAGTTGTTAGCTCGCTTTCAGTTCTATCGTTTCCAAACCCTACAAGTGAAACTGAAATTACTCCGAAATATGATTGGTTCACTGTCTGCCCCTCTTCTTCACTTCTGTCACTGGTCATCTGTCCCCATATTCCGCCCGAGCTTGTGTGTGTGCATACGTGAGTGCTCAAGTCCATTGAATCTTGCGCGTCAACAACCCCAGTGGCTATCCACCACAGGGGGCTTTCCACACGGTATCCTTCTGAACCGTGTCCAGCTGCTGGCCCTGGGGCAGACAGGGGAAAAAATAGAACGCAGAAGGGAAACGAGAACAGTCTAGCTAACCCCCAGGCCTCCTGCACACAAACCGACGGGCCTATCAATGCTTCGCCTGGAGCGTCAAAGGGTGGTGGGATAATGCGTACGGATCAGAAAGAAACGGTAACTGGTTCACAGAAACCAGATGGGAAACCTCTTTTCTGCCTTCGGCCATTGTCCCGCAGGTCGTCAAAGCATTGCGAACAGGTTACCTGGTTTGTTAAGCAACGATACCCATTATTCACACTGCCTGAGGGTTCGGTTACCGCAGCTTGTGCATTGCTGGAAGCGATATCGGGGATCTGGACCAATATCGATTTGCTGCGTCCCTTTGATGTTCCCGGATATGCGAGTGAGTGCCATCGCATCGTGTTTGTCCTGGCGTGTAGTTGATATCATCCATTGACTATTACGACTCGACCATACACTGAGTCTTGTGTATCCGTCAGATTTCATCCACTAAGCTTTAAGGTAGACAAATAATTTTTCTGATGTAATACATGTCGTGTTCGTAATCCCTGCGAAATTGTTGACGTCATATAGGTTATTTACCGTAACAATGATCGTGTTATATTTAGTCAAAGCGACAAGTTTAGTTAATTTTTTCAATGTGTTTCATTCCAAGTATGAAGCGTTGAAATTCTGTTGAAGAGAATAATAGAATGGTAAAGATGGCTTGATCACTGATCACCACTTGATCACCACTCAGTGATCGCGATTTCGACCAACACAAGCGCGGACTACAGTTATGCAACTAGCGACTGAAAGAAATCGGGTGTGTTACCTTCCTGAATGCGGTGTTTGCTAGCCAAAGTCTTTGGCCCTATGTTTCTGCATCGAAACTCTTCAGATGGCACTAGTCTCTGTTCAAACGTTTCACCAATACTTTTTCAGCTTGCTGTCACCATGGGGGAAAGTGATGGTCGCAGTTTGATGACTATTTCCCTTGTATATCGACAGTTACCAAATCGTTCATGTCCATTCAATTACTATTGACCTCTGCTACATTACTGTCCCCACCATGTGCACTAAACTGGGTCCCCCGCGGCCGTTACCCTAATCTCAGTGTTAACCAGTTCTTTTCCGGATATCGGTCGCAAGCCATGGCTGCACCAGTCTAATTAATGCGGCTAGTTATATGCCATCACGGTGAGGGATATAGTAGACTCAGTTGCTAATTACCACCCGTGATGAGCGACAGAGCAGTGGGTGACTGGGTGCCAACATAATTCAGAAGACCAGAAACTTGAGTTTGCTATTCAAGATTTCATTAGCTAACGAGGCTTATTAATTCAACTGCAATATTTAAGTCGAGAACTTCTAGTTCTTATAATAGAGAGGTTACAAGTACTTCAAATCTACATCGCCGGTTTCACATGGACGAGGGACTGATCGTTCATAAGCGACTTGTAACCGGGTTGTCAAGCCAAAGTATTAGCTTGATAATAGCATCTAGAGCAGGCATCACAACATGAGTACCGCTAGAAGATCTCTAAGATCGCGCAAGTTGCCATGATGGCCATACACGACAAATGCTCAGTGTATATATATATATATATATATATATATATATATATATATATATATATATATATATATATGGCAGGCTTAGCATGCCTGGTCTAGGGGAAATGGCGACAAGCAGTCAGCTGTCCAGCACTCAAAATATTTTGCTTGATCTTCCAGCTATTTTTTTTATAAATCAACTGCCTCAGCTGGTATGGTTTGAGGGTAACAAAGTGGTGTTCCAAGGATAAGTGTCTTCTTTTATTCCGAACTAATCCCAGTAAGTTCTCAAGCTTTACGGCTTATTAAAAGAAAGCTAACACACTTGGCTGCTTTGTGTAATTAGTGAATATTTGGATTGATCCGGTTAGCGGTATTTCTGTCAGGATGGGAGGGACAATACCCATCATCAGCTATCGATGAGAATACCACATGTATCTCGGTCCTTATGTCCCCATGCAAGAAAGCCCATTTGGTAGGAGGCAAAACCAGCCAAAGCAAAGACAGGGCTGATATTTCCTAAACATAGCCGCAACAGCTGAATAACCATTAGTGCATGTGGAAGCGGGAAGATTTGCCGGATTGTTGATGGATATGAATTAACGTACCGATTCGCACAATGAGTTCCACGTGTACTGTGAGGAAGTTGTAAGTGGCAAATATTCGCAGTAATGAGCATCCTACTTTGTATATAATGCAGGCCGGCCACTATCGGTATCTAAAGAGGACTCCATAAGTTGCTGGCACGAGCTACTAGTTAAACTTCGAACTGCGATTCATTCCGGATGATGCCGAATCTGCTGCGACCAGAACAACTGATAGTTGAAGTCAACTCGACCAACTAACACCTCCCGAATTATAAAATGAAGCGGTTGCATGATGCGCGAACAAGATACTAGGCCATGAAAAGATTAATGTCGCAACTCAATAAATTGAGCTAATGGATTCCGTAGCTCACTTCATGGTCGTTTTTTGAAATAGATCAAGCATGGCTACAATCAAAGGGACCTAGCGGAGTTGGCGTACTCTAACTTTATTCGCTTTACATGGTATCGTATAATGGAATCATTCCACCAGTCTTTCCTGGTGTTACTTTCAACCGTACAATCCGAATACCCACTTCTGTTCAAACAGATATGCCAGCCCCTATGTAAAAAAACATGTACAACCTACTCATCTTATAGACTGCGTGGGACGCATCCGGGTGAACAGCGGTTTCTTTTCTGCTAAAATTAAAGCTTTTATGTTGGGTACTTGGTTGCTGACTAGTTACCAATGCAGGAAGCTAAAAAAAACAATTGTTCATCAGTTGCTATAGATACAAAAATAATTTTTCTAATGGTATTTCACTGTCCAGTTTGCTATGACGCCTTCCGACAGCAGCTCATTCTCGACAACCGGCCCGCTTCTTATTTGGTTGGATCAGTTTGGAAGCACTGTGAGCGTTGCATAAAGAGTACGCTTGGCTTGATAAGGTTTAAATGATAGGAGCTGTGCGCAGGCGTTTGGTAGAGACATTCAGAAGGACTTATGATAATTGACAATTGTTGATTATTGTTGGTTAATGCTGAAAACCGGAGATATTGACTGACGGACGTCAGTGTGAGACCTAGCTCCACCTTCAAGATTAATGGTAGTTACCCTACATCTGAGGAGGGCAGTCGTGACTTGCTAAAAATTGTTGATAAAGATAGAAAGCTGATCTGAATCGGACTACAAGCATCAATGTCATACTACTGCACGCAAGTGTTGCGCTATGGTGCGATTCAGTGGGTTGTGGATTGTCGAAAGGAGCGAAGCAAGTGCAGCATCTCCATTAGCGTGTATGTACATCACGTTTACCAAGGCCATGAATGAGGTTATAGTTAGTTAGTCCTGTTCTCCATATTCCTATCTCTCCTTCTGAAGTAGAGTATACACCAAAACTTGTTTTAGTAACCCGCGGATTATTGGGACTACATCAAATGTCACCAGTTTTAGACTGAATCCGTGATTGACCTTTCAAGGTAGAGATATTGGAAGCTGCGAGTGAAGTTTGGGAAATAGTGGTTGTTAGATGGGACCTTGAAATCTGTGCCCTCGAGACGTGTCAACAGTACTTGGCGCAAGGAAGGTGCTGGGGGTTTTGGAATATCCGCCGTATAGTTAGATTGTGACAAAACCTCCACTTAGCTTTCAGGTTAAGATGCCTTCAACAATCCGAGAAACCGCAAACACTAGCGGAAAGCCGTGCATGCTTCCAGAAGTACCCCATTCATACAGGAACTTGTTGCAGATGCATTTTCTAGTGACAATGTCCTTCCATCTGTTGTATTTAGGGATGTGCGTTTATAACTTCGGGTTCATTTAGTAGTACATAAACCACACATCAGGTGAAGCATAACCAAGTAATTGGCCTCTCGAAACACCTAGGCCCGCATATGTGATTGCTATCGGTAACACTGGAATATTTCAAACTGAAGAGGTTACGGTCAACGAAGTTGGATCCGCCACGATGGTTCAAGTAGGTATGATACTCACAGCTAACCCAAACCACAATGGAACAATGGTATGATTGGTGGCATCCGGTTTCAGATTTGCTTGTCACTGTGGCGGGCCACAGGACGCCTGCGCCTACAGAGGGACCATGGGGTGGCTTGCGCTACATTACCCACAGCTCCATCCGCACACCCCATATCCAGTGGTATAATACCGATAAAAAGCCAAAGCTTGACAAATCCCGTAGGATGGTTTGTGGAAATAATGTTAGTTAAAATTTGTACAAAGTGAACAAAAGACATCAGTGGACTTATCAGATTATCCACATTAACACAAAGGTATATCCGTCTACCCTGATTTCGTGGGGATGGTGAGTACAATATTTGCCTGCACCGTGTTGTCAATCAATGAATGGGAATCAGCTCAAGTAATGTAGTTAGTGTAAAGCTTAGTACCTGAAATGTTGAAGTGTCTCAGGTATCTTCGCTATGCCGGAACAAAGAAATCGGCTCAAAGTAGGAATCAGCAGCTTTTAGTCAGGGGAATAACAAGCAACATCACGCTCAGTAGACTATTCACAGTGAAGGCGACCGCAGTAACGTAGTAAAGGGAGCCTAAACTTTCCGTTTTCATTCATTAAAAAATTGCATTTACATAATAATAATATTATTATTGTCGTATACCACTTGGAATCTCGAGCTGCGATCCCTTAATGAGGTCTGATCAATATACACATGAATAGGGAAAGTGGACAAGAATAAGCAAATCAAACGTTTGGGAGAGCAAAAATATGTGTAGTTTGCGTAGGTCACAGATGGCAGTGTGCACATAACTGCATGTAATTTCATAAGTTTGTTTCTATAATCTGCAGATGAGAGACACCAATGGCACCTGCTATCTATGAATTACCACTGGATACCGGTAGCTCGAGTTGGTTGTTGAACTCATTGGTTAGTTCACTGAGCCGTACGATTTGTTTACAGAGGTTTCGATACTTCTCTGGATTTGCTCAAAGCGCCTTGCTTGCTAAAAGCCACCTTCTATTACGCACTGAAAATGCCGCCTCAATTGGTGGCCAAACGACTGCACTTAAATTGATCGGCCCTGAAAACTGAATACAGTAGAATAAATAAAATAAGGTGAAAAGAACATTCTCGTTAACAAACTGGGCTAAAATTTCTTTAAATTATCCTATGCTTGCACTACAATGTACAACAATCCAGCTTGGACGCATAGTATGTGTTTAAAAACAAAAGACGGGAGACCCTCGTGCGGAAATTCAACCATCGATGCGTTCGTTTTCGTAGATAGGTCACTGACCTTGAAAGAACTGCAGCTGATTAAACGTTGCAAAGAAATCAAATCCAAGCTACGGTGAACATGGGGGAAGCTTAGACAAGTGTAAGCTAACCAAAAACGTAGAGGAGTATAACACATATAATAGAAAAGCTGTATGAAGCTTAAAAGAAGACGCTATTAATTCCAGACTAATTCTGCATAGACAGTTACCCATAGAGTTGGCATGTAACGGTACAGGGGGATGAATCAACACAACAGAAGAAGGCGACATGAGTAAGGAATAGGTGGAGATGACAATATGCCCAATTCATTTGTCCTGAGGCTCCGCTGTCAAGTCTAAACTAAATCTGCATCAAATAGTTTGTCTGAAGTGTGACGTGCGCAGTCGCTCAGACGCAGTACCGAATAGTATGTCAAATTTCGGGTCTACTCCAATGTTAAACCAAGGTAGCACTATGGTGTGGGCAAGTGCGTACTTATGGAATTCTCATTACCAGTACCGGTTCGTAGGATGACATCAGCACAGTAACTTACTTGTTCAGTAGTTGTGGTGTAGCTAAGCTATTGTGCCTAGGAATTCGATCATCGCTGAAGATCCATAATCTTGTACAACGTGTGATACGAGATTAAGATTTGCACGTTGCGCTTACTTCAGCCATCCACTACGAGTTGAACAACCAGGTTGATCCCAGGAGGTTGTGCAAAATTTATACTACCGCTGAATAGTTCATTGTAAGCTTAGTACTTTTCGTTAACAAATTAGTAATCGCATTTCCTCACGCCATTACTTCGTTCGCCGCCCACAGGGACATGTAAAGGCAGTCAGCAAAATGCCTACTGTAGACCCAGCTGAACACGAGAACCCTGACACGGGGATGCTGGAATTCCAACCACCGTATTTCCCTCCGCCCTACTATCCACCCATAGGAATGCACAATTCCGGTTTCGGTCCAATTCCACCATCACCTGGAGTGAACTCATTGGGCCCATTTTTCGGTCACTCTATGGGCTACAATTCTGGAGTCGGACATCTTCACCTGTGTCCACAACCGTTTATGCTTGGGATGCACAGTCACCAACAACCGCAGCAGCTGCCTCCGCCTCCAGCCCATTCCCCGTCCGCGATCACTCTTGCAACCCTATCGCAAACGCAACAGACACTTCAGCAACGGCAGCGACAACAGCAGACTGGCAGCTACTCCACTCCAACGACACCGTACAACTTGAGTCAAAGCATGTACTATAGCAATCCGCTGAGCTACCTATGCAATGCAGGAAACACAAGTGCGTTACTGGTGGATGGCATTCCTGAGGCTGGGAGTGTCACATACCCATTTCCGGCTATCCCCGAGCAAGGGTCATATGGATTCACTTCTGACCAAACAACCGATCAGGTAGGATCAACCACGTTCGCATTGCCTTAATGTTTTGCACAAGTTTCTTTTGCACCTGATGGGTCCAAAAGATGCCAATACATGATCAAAATTACAGTAACAGGACAGCATTTCCAACATGGTAGGTCTACAACATAGCCCCAAATCCTCATCAAGGCACACGATCATTCTTCCACGTCAAACCGACAGGCTAGACGGTTAGGACAGAAACTGCATCCAATATAAACCCAAAAACATCATTCAGAAACATCAGATAATAGTTGGGTGTATATAAGCAAATGGTCACTCAAAAATGTCCCTATCGTATTTGCGTACAGGCTCTATTAGCACGGATGGGTTCCACATTATGCACTATAGGCTCCGACCAATACTCCCATCATCATCAATAGTTTAGTACGGATTCGCTTATTTGGTATGGAGTCTGAAAGATGCTTAACATCAAAAAGTGCTAACAAAGCTACTTGAGTAGGCCGAAACCGAATGACTCATAAGCACCACGATGCCAGTCGTGCAATCACAAAGATTGTCCCTGTGATTTAAACACTGAAACGGCGCTAGCCTGAATCAACAACAACAACAACAACAACAACAACAACAACAACTGGCAGGCACACTGGATGAAATCATACGTCACAAAGCTGCCAGTTGATACTGTGCAGAATTAGTAGAACAGCATGACTGTTACACTTTTTAATGTATTGTTATTTAGAGTATTCGTTAGATAGGTGATAATATAATACTAATAACGTGTCAGCTATACGCCGTAACGGCGCTTCGCTGCCGCGCGACCACCACTAGTCGAGCGCGGGCTGAGTATACCGCGAGGACGCCCACCCCTACGCGGATTCGAACCGGTGACCTTATGGTTGCAAAACAAACGTGCAGACCGCTCGGCCACCGGCTGAAGATCGCGCTAATCCCTTCACAAAACAGGAATCAGCTCAAATATCCTTACATTTACTGACTGCAAACCAGGCAGAGGGCACTTATTAGCCCTCATATTACACCGTCCTTGTACCACACAAGGCGGTTGTTCGCTTGCAACTTAAGTTGAAAGACTTAAGAACATCCACAACATTTAAACTGACGTTAACAATTGTTTGAGGAAGGAACAGACTATGTATGATACCAGAGCATAATGATTGTATACACGTTACAATCGGTGAAAAGGTACTGTCTGGATTTTCTATGTTGTGTTCTTCCAATCGTCTTCACGTTATATTCCTTAAGGAAATCTCCAGTTGCTCTATTCAACTTCACTTCCTACTGACTGCTTGCTGACCTCAGATCAAAAACAACAAAAATGTGTTGGCATGGTGACGAATTAGTTGACCAATGAGTAAAATTTGTTTGTTCTACGATTCTCTTCTTCACAGTCGTTCTGTTACGATAACCAACTAATTCTTCCCTCGGGGGGGCAACAGTTCAGGAACATGTAGCAATTGTTTAGTGCTTATGGATATGGAAGTCTCTACTGTTCTAATGTCTGTAACTAATGATGACTGAAAATTCTTTTCTGTAAATTCTTGCCTACGGATAATTCGAGCTGTAAACTCTGTTCTTTTCTGTCCTGTTGTAAAATTTAATCGGGTAATCCAACGAACCTTTGGTAGCGGGAAAATTCCCATTAAAACACTGAATGAGAAAAGGAGTAATTCCATTTATGTAAAAGTTTGGCGTCCCATTTCTTGAAATAAGCAATTAATTTGTGTTATTTTGTGAAGTTTCTTCCTTTAAAATGGTTCAGTATACATGTACGTAAGAGAACACAATTCCGTCTGTAGGAACAAACAGGTTCTCCGTTGCGATGGGTGAAAAATGGTAGAACGGTTGTTTCTGGTGAATGGCTGCCAACGTGAAAGATTGGTGTTTATCTTGCTGCATACCACTGAATAAACATGTGTTTTGCGCTCCCACTGCCAACAGTTAGCAATTGTGAGCGAAAACAAAACTTTTATGTACAACGTTTCAGCAATCGTTGATTAAACAAAATATAGTGATCTCGATGATTTAAATGAAAGTTAATGCAATAAGCCATTGTCCAGGCACTAATTGTTTGTTAAAAGTGTTTTCACAGCAGGAAAGATATAAAAAGGCTGGTGGAATGCTGACCGATCATTCTTTCAGTTGTGAAACATGCGATTCGTATAGTTATTAACATTATTATTTTACTTTTTCATATTTTCTATTTATCCTTATTTCTTTGTTGGACACGGCTGGACTGCTCTTCTGAGGTGACGGATTGAAGCTTCCAAAGTAACATTGTGTGCCCCTGCAAGGTATATTGCCACTCACTCACTAGTACGTAATAAAACTGCCATGCTGGCGATAGCCATATGACAGAACGAGCAGGAGGCTTCATCGCCCATAATGTATGCAAAAATAATGGCCTTAGGTTCTAGTTAAAGAGGTGATAGCTGATTTGCCATTATAAAACACATGCACACTGCCAGATGGGGAGTGAAATCGTCGGGGGAGAACTTCCGAGGAATACCCTGCGTAAAGTATTACCCTGAAGACAGCTTCACGAATGGTCACAGTACTCCACTGGAATATCTGGCTAAATCTCTCTTCGTTATTGTTCGCAATTTTCTCCATTTTTACTCCAAAAATCCAAATAATCACATGCTTTATGCGATCCCAGTGTACATCTTGATCAAATCATTCGGTTGGACTGCGTCTCGCATTAGCAATAACTAAACCGCTTACTTTAACTTAAATCTTTCAGTGCTCTCCTGACATTCTACTTTTCAGCAAATGGCTAGCGACCAAGTCCCAAAGGAAAAACTTTGCGCGAATCGTCGATTTGGCCAAACCGACACTACCTCTGGTTCACATTCCGCAACCGCTACTGATCTATTCTGTTCTGAACCAACGACAAGAAGTATGACCACTTTGCCGGTGACTCAGGCGGTATGCGCGGCATCCTTTGGTAATGGTTCTGCGTGCTCTATGTCAAAGGATACATTCCGGATGGATAGATATAACAATATTTCCATGATAGGAATTAATCCCAGTTTGCAGGATCACACCGCGTTCATGGAAAACGCTGTGACAGCGAAAATGGACGAACAGGGCGCACTAACATCGGAGGCTGAAAATTACTCGGTGAGCTTGTGTGCCTTCTTGTGTGGTAACCGTTAACCACCTTATGTCGATGAATAACCAAGTCCAATAGATTTGATGAACAATATATTCTTTGGTGCTTTCCAGACGATGAATGATTCCCTCGCTTATGATCGGACCAACGGACTCGCACCCAACACGGATGAGGACCAGTACGGGGCAACGCGAAAAGGATTCGACCAAGCAGAACAAATTGTGGAACCAACTTATCAGAGGGTAAGTACGGCAGTAGGTCAGAGCTAAGTAACCCATTCATCTGGGTACCGGCTCCCATTAAAATGGTTTGGCAGTCCCACCGGAGGACACATTGTTTTCTAGCAAACCCAGCAAAGTGTTAAAGGTACATGCTTAACTGCAATTCACAAACGATGTATACATATATATGGGGTGTTCTCAGCCTCTGCTGTCTCCAGCAACGCCGAACTAATGCTACACTTTGGTCATTTATCAGAGTGGGACTCCAACTTCGACGGACTCTTCTGGATCCTCCTCAAGAAATTCCTCCAATTGTTTGTCTCCTCCTCTTGGTGCAACTATTGCGGAGTCCGATGGCTCTCATGCGCCCATAATTTCTTCAGTGACAGGTTATCGTGACACAACCAACACACTGCAATGTAATCCAGCGTTGCAACAACCAGGTCATAGTGGCAGACCAGCGTTCGACACTCCAAACGGTGAACCAGGTCTGCTGTTCCCGAAAGCCCCTAGTCTACCATGCAATTACTTCGACTTGGCTCTGAAAAACGCCTTCGAATTTCGTCCTGGCCCAAAAGGAACGTGTTACGATCAGGGTATTGCAGGAGCCAACGCCACAACTATGATCTCGCCTACTGGAATGAACGCCTCCAACATCGAGCCTGAACACTACTCATCAATGCACACATTATTCCCAGGTGGCCTGTCCGGATTGATGCAAGGAGGCAATGCGCTACAACATGCTATGCAGTCCCACGCCGCAATGGTATCAGAAAGCGCGTTCAACCGACAACCAGCTATAGTGAACCACTCAAAAAGCGGTTTGTTCAAAAGAGGTAAGTGACCGATGGAAGTGGCGCTGTTTTCATCACCAACCGACCAAAGTGAACATGTGACGTTATGCATCTGATGAACTGTGGTAGTTGAATGGTCTGCTTAACTTAAAACGCTTGAATCCTCCGAATATGTAAAATAAGTAGCTGTGGTCTGCTGAATAACCGCAATTGTACAGACGTTATGTGGATAACATCCTGAGCTTCACCGACGGCGAACAGCTCAGCCACCTGCTACCATTCAGACTTTGAGCTTCTCCCACGTATTATTAAGGGACGAGTCGACGGCTCACTTTAGCGTAAAGCACACCGCGATGCGAATTAGGTTGGCTTTCCTCTAGTTGTAAACACATATGAATCCGTGGATACACTGTTAAAGGGGAAGATGAACTTTTAGTTCAAAGATGCTAATAATTGAGGAAGGCTCTTGGCATTTGTGTCGTCAGTGCGATGTCCGATGGCATGTGCAGAATAGCAATCTAGGCGAAACTCGTAATATCTCAAAGTGATACTCCTAAGGTACGGTGACTGCGCCATCGTCCACGTACGCCCAGTTAAGTCTGAACAGATATTACATTATATTGAACAATGAAAAATGAATGGATACAGACTAAGAAGCGCTGCTTTACAAGTCCCGTTTGATAGTTGCTGGGGATATCAACATACCAATAATGACAATAATGGTTAATAAAACAGTTGGTACTTAAAATATGAAAATAAGGACTTATCATTTGCTCCGCTGTAGTTCTGTAATCCACTTAGATTCACAGCACCCACAGCTAGCATCAAATAATTCCATGGCAAACTCCAGATGTAGGATGGAGAAGTAGCGTTAAGTAACGAAGTGTAAGTGGATGAGTGTGTCATCCAACCGTCTGTTAAATACTGTTAGTGTCGGTGCAGAGACGACCGATTCTGGAAGAGGATTCCACGGGTGACAGACACGAATGGAAAAGAAATTTCTGCTGCACTCCAGACGACTGTATTGTTCTGCGAGTTTTAATGAGTGGCCCCTCAGATTTGTATTGCTGCTGAGTTGCAGTAAAGGGCGATACACATGATGTGGGTCTCGTAGAATCAAGTATGCCATAATCAGGTCGCATCGTAGTCTGCGATAGCTTCCGCTGAATATCCCCAATCGTTGCAGCCTCTCCTGGTATGAAAGATTGCACATTCCAATTACGTTCTTAGATGCCAGACGTTGTGGCTGCTCCAGTGCATAAGGGTCGTGTTTCAGCCATGGATGCCAGACTTGAATTGCTTATTCGACATGGGGGGGGGGGAAATACGCACTGAGCATTTGTCGAAATATGGAGCTGTTTATTTGTCCAAACGCCTGTCGCAACAGCCTGACGGGTTGGTTTTCAGCCTTTGAGGCCTTATCGGATTGCCTGGAGCAACCCAAGTCCTCTTGAACCAGGACACCCAATTCACGTTCGAGAGTTGATCGTTGTAGTATACTCGTTCCGAGCCGGTATCAGTAGCTGCTCTGATATCGGATGGAAAGTACCTTGCATTTACACATGTTGAAATGCAGTACGTTTTGGTTTAACCATTGAAACACCGTCTCTAGGTCACTCTGAAGCAGATGTTCTTTGGCGTTCGCCTGGATCCTAAGGTATATTTTGATATCTTCGGCAAACATTAGGAAGTTTGAAGTGATTCCCTGTGCAAGGTCATTGAGAAACACCAAAACAAACGTGGAGCTAGAACCGAGTCTTGCAGCACACCACACTCGACTTGTATGGGGTCCGATAAAGAGCTCCGAACTCTGACCACTAATTACCGTTGAAGTAGAAAGTTGGCAAGCCAGGTTATGTACTTAGGAAAAGCAGGGGTTCAGAGTGTTTAACCACAAATGACATGGATTCAGAAAATCTAGCTATCCACGGATTACTCACATCGGCCTCTAACACTGCAGCTAAAACCCACGTGCTTCATTCTGCACACTCCTTGAGGCTATGATAAGTCAGTACTCATGCAGAAATTCATCTAAAAATATAAGATGGTTTCAAATCAAACATGGGGTTGTGCAGATCTGTGTGCGCTATTTTACCTTTCGATTTTTGCCTACGGAGAGGTGGAGCTTGTCGGCCGTTACAGCTGAGATCTTGAAATGGCGCAGCTATGGTTATTTAAAGTGCATGTATGCATATGCAGCGATCGCAGCAACCCTCTCGAAAATGTGCATTTTAAATCCTCTAATTCGGTCGCATGGTGGGAATGAGTGTAGCTAACCTGAACGCTACCCCCACAAATAGTCCGTCAGCACAAAAGATACACAAAATGGTCTAACTTTGCCTGCAACACTGGTCTAACCATCACCTGGTCGCACGTTTTCACAATCCCTTCATCATCCAAGGGGGGTGGTTGAATGAAATATGCCTTCGAGGTAGCATGAAGCGGTTTCCACACCTTCGAATAGTCCGTTCGGCTAAATCGCAGATCATCCTCATCGAAGTAGACCACAATTCAGGTGTGCGATTATTCACACGTGCAGCGCAGCGCTACCGAGACAGGCTAATTGACCATATACACCGCCCACCGTATGGGGTACCGCACTGTACTGCACCGCATCATGCCGAATGCGAGTGACGATCATCTATCACAGTGTAATTTCACATGACTAATTAGCCTTCCAGTGGTTCGCTGGACTCAAGGGAAATCACCCGTGGGGTTTACTCTTCAATAGCAGTTTCCCAGTCACTGTCACAGTGCGAAAGTTCGGATAGAAAAGAAAGCTGTTTGATTGTAGGGTCATTTGGAACTACTCGTTGTGTGAATGGATTGCACCGCCCAGTCTCAACGTGGACTGTGATTCTCATTGAACTGAACTTTGGTCAATTCGATCACTGGGGCCGTAACGGCAGATAGATATTGGGTGTTACCCACTGGCTGGTTGTTGGTTTGTGCTCAACTAACAATGACATACGACGGAAGCAACAGCCAGCCCTGTGGACGTTATTTGAGGAAGATGACCATTACACCACCACGGAGCAGACATTCGGTAAACAAAAGCGGTGTATTGGTAGAAATACTCTCATTGCCTTGATCTGTAACTAAATACCTGAGACTATGAACCGAACTATCAAATCGACATTGTTGACTATTACTTATTTTGGCAATTGTTCTAGTGGTTGCACAGACTAAGAATAAGATAAAAGGGTATTTTTTAAGTTTGCCACTAAAATTGTGATGAGAAGCTTTTTCAAACACACACAAAGTTCGTCACTGGTTCTTTCCTTGCCGTCGCAGCGAACTTGGGAAAATGTCTGAGTCTTCTATGAAACCACCTAGTGAAAAGTTACGAGTCAGAAAAGGAACATTTAGGAAAACGGAAACTTTTGTGCTCCCACTATACAGTTTTGCTTGTTATCCCACCCACAACGGGGAACATGCATATCCCAGCTTTGCCCACTCCAGTTTCTGATTCCAGCTAGCTTTACTAACAGACAGCCTGGTATATGAATAAGCAAATTGTCATCTGGATTTTGTTTACTTAGTGACTTGCTTTGATGCTTCAAGTGGCTTTCGGCTCATTGCTCATTCGGGAAGAAGAAGCTTGAGTGGGCGCAACTATGTTATCACAACACAGAGCTCCTGAGTGAGGTTCTGAATGTCAGGTGGAAATCAGCACGTAATCCAGAGGGACCCGCACGCTCTGTTGCTTGCACTGATGTGTTTGTAGCTGTTGAACTGCTCAATTTGTGGGTGTATTTTGCCACCAACGCGCACACCCACACATATACACAGTTATGCACTTTTAAATAACACTAGCTTGGTGAATACATACAAACCTTATCGTCAAGCTTATTGACGGATCCGTTTTCCAGTCAGTATAATCTTTCTTCACCAAAGCGTCATCATCACATGTTAGAATTGTGAACAGTGATTACGCAAGCCATCCGATCAGAGCAGCTTCATTTGAAGAGCTGTTTGTTGTCAACACCGCACTCCTCAGCTTGACGTGGCCGGAGCCTGGATGTAAAGCAGTTTTAATAACCACCATTAGCCTCTATTACCACATTGACCGTAAGCTCATCACATCGCGTAGGAAATCGACTCTGGACTACTGGAACATCCGGTACGATTTTTCGCATTGGATCAGTGCCCTCAAGAAGTAGATGGGCTCATTCTTATCACGGGACTTAGATTAAGCATGAGTAGTTTAACCTTAACATGCCGTGGGTAATCCTAATCCTACAAAAAGACAGAATAGTGGCTCCACGAGGGAATTCAGTAGTTCAGAGATATATTCGTCGTTTCTGAGATACAAAACTTTGCCATTTTAAAACATCCTCGCACAGACCATAACGATGTAGGTCGATTTTGTTCCCTATTGGCATTATTTTGGGATACCGTGTGACCAGAAAAAGTTACACAAGCTTATTGGTTATAGAGTGGAACGGGGTGCGCTTCAACAGGAGGATCGTGTTCGTCATCTACATGTGGACTAAACCCTCGGGCGTGGCAATTGTGAGCTCAGCAAAAGAGAGAGAGAGAGAGAGAAAGTAAACACAACATGCTTAATCCTCAAACGCGCGTGCAGTGTCGAATAGGTGTGGAGTGGCGGCGGCGTCAGTAGAAGTGGAACACACATGGTATAAGCAATGTGTGGACAAAAATAAGTCACAAATCTGCACAAGCTTCGGATTTATCACTTATAAATATACTATGTGTCTTTTCCCCTTTCATTCCGCCCATGCTTGCTATCCACGCCCCATAGAGCAATTACACGCCACGTTTGTCGGAGAGCAAACGGTTGGCTTGTCCTTTTGGTGACGATAATTAGAACTTGCAATGGAGATTACGGTCAGCTTTCGCCTGGAGTGAGAACAAGTCACTGGTGGGGATGGGGATGGAGAGGGACTGCCAGCAAAGAGTATCATCAGCTTTTCGAATATACGTGGCCTACCGAAACGAGCACAGGAGTGTACATTTCTGATTTTGTATGAATAAGTTGTAAACTGTTCCTTTATTCAAAACTTTGCTTTGGTCCCTTTTGAAGGGTGTTTTCATAGAACATGATCACCTTTTCTTTCTGAGTGTCAAATGGTAACCAGGATAAACTTTTAGTGTGGTACTCTGTAATTTCTTCATATGCTAGTGGAATGTACACAGTCGTCTCACAAACATTACCGGTGTTTCACATCAGCTGCGTTCTGTTTGTCTGTTTCGTCACCAGGATTTCGATACAAGTGCAATCCTGACGGCCGCCTGGACTTCACACAAGGTCCCAGTCCGGCAGACATCTTCTGTACAGTTCCTGGTCGCCTATCGCTGCTCAGTTCTACCTCTAAGTACAAAGTAACCGTTGCGGAGGTACAACGAAGGCTCTCACCACCCGAATGTCTTAATGCGTCATTACTCGGTGGTGTATTACGGAGGTAAGCAATGCAGTTTGGTCACAGCAGACAAATTTGTCCCTTTAACACATCCGCGCTTGTTACATTCTAATTTATCGAACAGAAGGCTCATTAGGACAAAAAAACATCACACTGTTCTTACCCCGTGGGTCATTTGATCCGGAGCTCCCCTGAGGCATTATCACGAACCACCAGGAGATGAGGAATAGTGGGTATAGAGTGACCAGCTGCTACTAAGTAGGGCCAATTATTCGGCACTTGGAATTGTGTATGCTTGCTAACGTGCGTGTGTTTGTTTTTGCGTGTATGTGCATCACCAGAGGTTAAAAAGCGTAAGATTAGAACGAGAAGAATCAGTATTCCCTATGGAGTCCTCCCATACACATAAATGCCGCTTGTTGCCATCCGGTAGCCCTTCTACGTCCACCCACGATTTGAGGCCAATCATGACCACTAGTGCTTCTGAATCGCCTCTTGATTCACGGAATTATATTTCTCAATGGTGACAACCACTTCAGCCCTATGATTCCACCCTGGCCAAAAAGTGTCACCAGGAACACTGCCGTGCACAGTAAAGCCTTAATTGTTCATGGAAATTGGCACAAACTCTTCTTGGTCAACACCGTCATACACAAGTATACGTTTCATGTTGTAGAGCCAAATCAAAGAATGGCGGTCGTTCCTTGCGTGATAAACTAGACAAAATTGGTCTTAACCTTCCCGCCGGAAGAAGAAAAGCTGCAACCGTTACTCTTTTGACTTCATTGGTGGAAGGTAAGTGAGGTGAATTCTGTTTGTGTACACACTGCGTATGGCTGACCAGTTTCCCGATAGGAAACCATCAGCAGTTCTCAAACATTTCAGTCCAGCGCATAATTGTGCATGAAGAATTTTACGCAGATTTCATGCGTGTACCCAACCCTATCTCCATCAGAAATATTTAGCATACCGTTATCAGGATGTTGTTACAAGTTCGGCGATTGAGCACACGGAAAGCTGGCAGTATTAACAATGCATCGAGATAGTAAATCAGAGATTTCTCGTATGACTGCGCCAATAGTTCTGAATAATTCGATATTTATCAACGTTCTTTTAGCCTCTGAATTTGACAAACACGGAATGCCGAATCGTCCAACTCATCTGTTGCTACAACCCCTTTCAACGTCTGTGTGTGTGTGCTGCTGTAAGGGCAACGAAGTGGAAGCTGCCGCCGCCTCTACCTTCACCCCGTGCTTCGGTTGGACACGTGCAGAATCAGGTGGGCGGTCCACAGCCTTACCGGAAAAATGCCCCCCATAATTAGCTAATGCAGAGGCGAAGAATCATTTTTCACCTGTTCACGTCAGGAACACTGAGGGGAGCGGTGCCGGATCAGATGGGTTGATGGATTAATGATTTCTGTGGTTTACCGACCGAAACGACTTCTGCACCACATCAAACGAGCGATGTAGTAAGCCTTGTTTTGGGGGCATACATTCTACTGTGGGAAAACTAAGACTGGTTCATTGGAAAAAGAATGCGAATTTAGACGAGAAGTGTGACGGCTGAGTATACTTCAGGATAGAGCAATGGGTGCACTCTGTATGGATCTGAATCATGGTGATAGCCAGGTATCCGCCTAGAGTTCAAGTAGACTTGTTTGTAGACGACAACTATCGCATCCCATCGTCACAATATCCTCGTTCTCTGCCATGCACCACTCTTCGTCGGTCGACTCCTGGTGGAAGCTACATGGGCATTACTTTAGCGAGTAACTCGAACCGACCTCCTCACATGTGTGCAGGAGTAATATGCGTACCGCATTCCATTACCATATTTCTCGAGTTTGGGGGAAGTGTACTTATGACGAGGTGGATAGGGAAAGCGCTCACAGGTGTCATATCATTGAACACTTATCAGAATTGCATTCCCCACGATACCACAATGTCGATAAGATCACAGAAGTGGGAAACACATCCGTTCACCTTGAGTATCTTAGTTAGAGTCGATTAATTACGTCGGAGCGACGTAGCAGAGCACTATATGCGAACGGAACCCGACGAAGAATCGGGTGATCACTTCCATACTGAACAGTCGGCTGGGAAGCGGACGATAACAAATTGCTGTGTGCGGCCATTCCACCAACCAATTCATTTTCTCCAATTATGTCAATAACAGTGTGATCTCTGGCGCAACCTCCCCAGCGATAAACACGAAGGAAGCCTTGAGAGAGTGTGTGTGTGTGCCCGTGTGTGTGGTCTTCCAGGTTTGGCTACTTCTGAGCGAGAGTGGATCATGTCTCACACGTCCCATAGAGCTGCCGAGAGTAGTAGATCAGGCACACTGACGCTGGTTGTTGAAAGAGACGAGTGTAAACAGTCTTTCCGATACAGGTGGATTCAAACAGCCGCTGAAGCAAGCAGCAGGCTGCTGCCCAGACACAGCCTGTGTAGACTTAATATGCACGTTGCCAATATGTTGCATAATTGATGGATATTCATGCATTACACCCGCATGAACCAAATACTCTCAGTAGCCATCATTGGTTTGTGTCAGTCATTGCTCACTGGGTTGGGTAGCCTATTGAGAAAAGCGTTGGCCTTCAACCACTACGTCCAACGTGTCATTTGTAGTTACGGCTCTCTGTGCCAGAGGAATAAAAAGAAGGACGCAAGTGTTCACGGAGTTCGGTGTTGAGAGCGATCAACATCGAAGTTCCCAGCATCTATTTGTGTTCTGACAGCGTACGACGAATCCGCAGGCTTGGAACACAACCATGATTCTAGCGGAACTTCGTCATCTACTTGCTAGCGGCTTGTATTTGAATGTCTCCAGCGATTAGAGCGGTGTGGGATGAAGTATGCAGGCTAATCGTGTTTTCCTTGTACACTTTACTGTTCTGTGGTGGTTTGCAAAAAACAGCAGCAGGGAAATCGAAAAACGGATGCCGCTAAGCCTACGTTCAATAGCCAGGGGTTAACAAGGAAGAGCTTGTCGCATAAAACAAGGCCAAACTCAGTGACAAGAAATGCGTGACATGATTCCATGGCAATAAGGACGCTGAGGATAATGGATGCTATTTCTCACTGAACTCAACAAAAGAGTCAATACAACCTTTAATGAACAGAATTGAATCGTACAACATAAAGTTGTTCAACGGCTTCTTTGGCAGGAATGTACATTGTCCAAGGCAGTGAGGAAGATCTATTCCAGATTTGCCAATGATTTTGTGACCTGAGTACAATATAACAGAGGTGAAGCTACGTAGATAATAAATGCCATTCGCTTACAAAGCCACTAACAAACATTTGGTAACACACACGACTGTTTCGTGGCATACTGAAGATTACAAATGACCATGATGTAGTTTGTCGCAGCCGGACCCCGTCTATACAAGCTAGAAACTATGAAATGCTTGACTCAGTTTGCCGGGTTCCAGAGTGCTGTATGTTCCAGGCGACCCAGTGACATGCTCTAAAACCGTAATAACTCTTCCGCGCACAGCAAGTTCTTCCGCGATGTTACCGAAGTGCTTGTCACTTCTGTTGCTAAACTGTAACATGTGGCTTGAATGAGCCCATTTTCACCACGGTGATATCTACAAGTACGAAGATAATTAATCTGCAAAAAGCCAGCTAACGTGTGAAATCCCAAACGCCTTAACCTACTTTGGTTACTATTATCCTTCTCTTAAGATTATTAATTACAGCCACAATCATCTACCGCAACAGAGCGATATATCAATATATCATTCAAACATAGGGCTGACATCAGGCTATGAATCAGACAAGGCCAATTAGTACTTAAGGCTTTGGGAAATTGCCCATCTTTGATTGCTGATACTTACGCAGCATTGCCCTCAAATAGTGAAAACACTGGGTGCTCGATCTGGAACGATACCACTTGGTGTTTGGGAAGAAGCCCTCTGCTGTTTCAATGGAATACCTGTCAAATTTGGTTGGGTTTTATCCTCCGCATTCTTACTGGCTACCTTCTGCGAATACCATATACAGTCGCTACAATTAATTGGGCAGAACTGCGAGGTGATTAGTCAATGCAGTGGCATAAACGCTGATGCCCTGCGTATTTTTGGATGGGGCTTCCGGATGGTCAACATCAGTTGCGCAGTCGCATAATTAGTGACACTGTAGCATGAGGTTTCTTGCACCGAGCTAGTACGATTAAATCCGATTAATCTTACTCGATTTTTTCTTGATCTGTTTTTCACCATACTCAGCGTGGTTGATTTTCTGGCTACGTGTGTCTCAACAACTGGATTCCACGTGCTTCGGTGTCCTGATCACAGTTGTTTAACTGAACTGAACCGAGATTTCCTTTTATACCTAAACAGAGATCACTGTGTGGTAAGCATTCGGTGCCTACCGCAAACCAGTTAGGCAGACTTGCTGTTTTCGGCCAGCTAGTCTACTAACCAAACTGGAAGCTAACGTGTCTGAAGTAAAGGGACCAACGGACTTCCGTAGGGAGGTTGAGTGGACTGCGGACACACGTGAGATCTCGTGGCTGACTTTCCGTTAGCTTTCACTGGGCACCCCAGCAACTCATACGAAAGGCTGCGAAATGTGATGCCGGTGGAAACCTTGTGTTCGTGTGTGTGTGTGTGTGTGTGTGTGTGTGTGTGTGTGTGTGTGTGTGTGTGTGTGAGTGAGATGCGGACTGCGTCCTGCTGACGACTGGGTCACGCAGCGCGACTCTGTTGTTACTCTGTCTCTGGGCTCTTGCTAGCTGTTCGTGTGACCAGATTGCCGATTCGGCAATTGTCCCATCGCTCGGTGGCACATGTGGCTTACGCGTGACTCTACATCGGATGCGGGTTAAACTCGCACGCAGTTGTTTACTTGGTTGCTCGCTCACTGCCACAACGGCGGATAAAGATCAGTGCTAATTAGCAGGTGCGAACTGATCCGTGGGTGAGCGTGTTCATCATCAGATCGCCCGTCCCTATGGTAGCACGTGGATGGCTAATCGCTGCATGTGCCTGAAACAAGCTTGAACGGTTGTCATCAACCCAATACCCAATCTCTATGGGTTATGACTCGAGATTCCACTCGAAAGCAGAACATCCTTCCTTGCTGGGAGAAAACGTAGAAGAATATCGACTGGTTATATTAAGTAATAGGAAGAAATTCATCACATCTAGGCTCCCTCAGACAGCCGTCACACGCCCGGAAAAGCACTGTACGCGCGTTTCATCCTTTCGGGAATCGTCAGCAGTACGCATTCCATCGGGCCCTGGTTGGGCTCGAACCCGCAACTCGACTGTTGCCAGTCCGTGGTTGAGACCACTGAGCTACTGGGGACAGCAACGACCCCCGCTACCCTGTCCTCACGGCAGTAACGTGTAAGTCTGTGGATAGTGAGCGGCGCTATATCACATCTAATAACTTACTCACGATGGTCGTTGCCGTCTCCCGTAGCTCAGTGGTCTCAACCACGGACTGGCAACAGTCGAGTTGCGGGTTCGAGCCCAACCAGGGCCCGATGGAATGCGCACTGCTGACGATTCCCGAAAGGATGAAACGCACGTACAGTGCTTTTCCGGGCTTGTGACGGCTGTCTGAGTGAGCCTAGATGTGATGAATTTCTTCCTATAACATTCAACTCTCCCTACTACTCTTCTATACTAAGTAAGTTGAAGCATATACACACCGTTGCTACTCTTACTAAGACTATATGTAACCAGCATGCTAATTTGCTAGTTGCTGACATAAACGAGTTCGCAAATGGTCCACTTGTGTTGGCATATCTGCACTGACACAGTCATGGTGCACGCA